TTCTTGTCATGTCATTTCTATATTGACTGTGTGTGCGCGTTTTGGTACTTAATCAGGCATTAGTGCAGTGCTTTAACCTGATTTTTAAAAACTTGTAATGATAAATATGTTAAATATCATAATTATTTTAAATCTTTACTCTTCAAGGAAATGTGGGATTTGCACCCTGCAGAGTTTTAAAATTCAGTAAAAAAAAAGCATATTAAAAGTATTAAATTTTTTTTTATTCTGCAATCGTAATATTTTATTACATTCATTTATTTTGAACACTTTTAAAAAATCTTTACAGCCCATCTTTTTATTTATTGATGTTTTAATTGATTTATTTTTTTGTATTTGTTTTGTATTTGTTTTATTTTTTTATATATTTGTTTTTTTTAATTTTTTGTTGTTTTGTTATTTATTGATTGTTATTTAATTGTTTTTTATTTATTTAGTTTTTTTATTATTTCATTTTTTTGTTTTTTTTTGTTATATATTTGTTATTTTTTTATTAAGTTTTTAATTCCATTGGTTTTTAGTTATTAGTTTTTTATTGTATTTTTTGGTATTTTTTTATTTGTTTATTTTTTATTTATTTTATTATAATTTTTGTTTTTTATTGTTTTTATTTGTTTGTTATTGTATTTATTTTTGTTATCATTTTCATTTTTGGTTTTATTTTATTTTGTTTATTTGTTGTTTTTTAATTTTGTTATTTATTTGTTTTTTTATTTTACTTTTAAAAATTTAATTTATTCTTATACTTTTACTTTATACTTTTTTAATATTTTAATTTTATTATTTTTAATTTGTTTATTTTTTTATTTGAAATATGCTGTCTAATTAAATTTTTTATTATTATAATTATTTAAAATTGATTCTCTACATTTTAAACAGCAATTTTTAAGATTTAGAAGAAATGTCATCAGTAGGTTGATGCTTTTCTATTATTTTTTTTCCTGCGGCTTTAGTAATATTTTTTGTTTGAAGAAATTATTGTACACAAACTGTAAAATTATAACATCAAAACTGGTTTTATTCAAGGCAGAAGTCTTGTTAACCATCACTTACTTATACCCCTAAATAAATGTATTAGTGCTTGCAAAACCTTTTTTTATTCAGACTATATCAGATGAAGCAAAGGTCACAACAGCAGGTTACTATTGTCAGTTTGTGAATGAACAGATTGTTTAAGATTAAACAGTGTAACAGCTGTTGACGTGACAGGTTTTTTTTTTTTTTTTAAACGTCATTCATTCAGCACCGACTCTATTCACACGTTTGCTTTGTGTAAACCTTCTTAATCTTAATAATATGAACAGTGTTAAATCAAGTTTTACTGCAAGCACTTCAACAAAACCATCACTCTGTCAGTTTTACATTTGATCAACTTAATTGTAGTAATTTTACATATTGTAAATGCACAAACAACAGTTTTTATGCTAATATTAACACAATCTTCCAACCTATTCTAAAAGTATTTGTTGTAATTTGTAAAAGTGGTTAAACCTGATCAGGGTGTCTGCAGTCATTTACAATATTTTTAACTAATTAAATCCATCATTACACTAATAATGCAGCATGCAGGCGTTGATTCAATAAATAAAAAGGGAGCCTAAAAGGAGAAATGCATCAAAGTAATAAAAGAATGGGTAAAACAACACACGAATGTGGTATTTTAGGGTTGTTTTTGTTGTTGTTGGCCCTCTTTACCTCGTTGATGGCCAGCGGATTTAAAGAGCTCAGCTTACCGTAGTCAATCACAGTAAAGCTCTTCTAGAAGCACCTTTTCTCTGACCAGCTTTATTTAGAAAGCGCACTGGCAGTCGTAATCTAATACAGTCATTTACTGATTCCAGACCTATTGTTCAATCACAAACTGAGTAAAATATAACCAACGCACAGATTTAATGTGATACTAGCTGAAGAGCAGGAGAATCACTGAACTCACTGACGGCTTCAACCATTGATGAGCAGCAGTAGTGTTAACTTAGTAGTAGTACTGTTTACTTCGTGTTTCACAAATAAAAAAAAATCTGTATCATTCTAACTATTGTTCTGCTGTTCTATCATTTCTTCTATTGTTTTATGATTCTATCTATTTATTTATCTGTATGTCTATGTCTGTCTGTTATTCTAACTCCAGGGTGGCCAACCCTGTTCCTGGAGAGATTTCAGTTGCTACCCATATCAAACACACCTGAACCAATTAATTAGGACCTGAACATCACGTGATAATTACAGGCAGGTGTGTTTGATATGGGTAGCAACTGAAATCTGCAGGAAGGTGGCTCTCCAGGAACAGGGTTAGCCACCCCTGTTCTAACTCAATAGAAAGAACGATAGATTAATCGATTGTTCTTTCTATCATTCTCTAACATGGTCATTCCATCATTCTACTGTTCTATCTAGTTCTAAAAAAAATTATATCCTTCCATCTATCATTCTTTCTACTGTTCTAGGATTCTAGTCGTTCTATCTACCGATCATACTGTCGTTATATAACCATCAATTGTTTTTCTGTTCTAGTCTATGGTTCTTTCTATTGTTCTATCTATCGTTCTATCACTCTATCAATTGAATTATTCTATCCTTCTATTTATCGTTCTTTTTATTGTTTCATCATTCTATTCTGTAATTCTATAATTTTATTCTATCTATCTATCTATCTATCTATCTATCTATCTATCTATCTATCTATCTATCTATCTATTGTTCTTTGTCATTTGTTCTATCTATCGCTCTATTATTCTTTATTGCTTGATCATTCTTTCTGGTGGTTTATAATCTTTTCCATCATTCCTTCTATTGTTATGCCAACTCATTAAATTTATTCTATTGTTCTTTCTATTGTTCTATCATTTCTATTGTTCTATCTAGTGCTATCATTTTCTTTCCGTCTATCCATCCTTCCATCTACCGTTCTTTTTATTGTTCTATGATTCTATCTATCTGTTGTTCTATCTACCTATAGTTTTGTCGTTTTATCTATCATTCTATTATTCTTTATTGTTTGGTCTTTCTGTTGGTTTATCATCTTTTCTAACTTTCTATCAATCCTTCTATCATTCCTTCTATTGTTCTATGATTCTGTCTGTACGTCTGTGTCTATCTATCTGTCTGTCTGTCAATCTTTCTGTCAGGCTTACTATCATTCGGTTTACTCTCATTCTTTCAATTGTTCGATCTATCATTCCCATTTCTATCATTCTATAATTTTTTCTTTCCTTATATTTATCATTCTTTCTATTCTATGATTCTATCAGTTGTTCTATCTATCTATCTATCTATCTATCTATCTATCTATCTATCTATCTATCTATCCATCTATCCATCTATCCATCTATCTATCTATCTATCTATCTATCTATCTATCTATCTATCTATCTATCTATCTATCGTTCTTTGTCATTTGTTCTATCTATCAGTCTATTATTCTTGTTTAATCATTATTTCTGTTGGTTTATCTTTTTTTTTCTATCTTTCGTTCTATCATTCCTTCTATTGTACTTTGATTCTGTCTATCTGTCCTGCTAACTATCATTCAATTTGTTCTATTGTTCTATTATTCTATCATTCTGTGATTCTATCTGTCATTCTATCAATCGATTTATCAATCTATCATTCTATAATTCTATAAATTGATATCTATCCTGTCCTATCGTTTTATCTATTGTTCTATCATTCTCTCATTTTTTCGATATTTGTTGATCGTTATATAATTTTATATCATTCATTCATTCTATCGTTCTTTGTCATTCTATCTATGGTTTTATTTATTGTTCTATTCCTCATTGTTTGTATTGGCTTATCATTTTTTTTCTGTCTTCTATCTATCGTTCCATCATTCCTTGTTCTATTTATCATTCTATTAATCAATTTATCTATTCTATCGTTCTTTCTCTAACGCTCTATCTACCGTTGTTACTGTTCTATCTTCAGTTCTATCGTTCTATCATTTTTTCCAATCATTTTGATATGGATTTATGATATACAGAGATATGGATTTGTTTTGTTCTCTAAAGGTAATGTTCTCATTTCATTTTCAGGGAAAAAACAGATGCTCAGACTAACAAATATTCATTCACTCAGTTTTTCAGCAAATATCACTGAAATATTAAAATGATTTACTTTTCTGATGTTAAAACATTGATATTGTTTTGTCTAATAATATAAAATAGTATATTTCGTAAAACATTGCATATTTGATGCCTTCTGTGGACAAATGTTAATTCATTCTTTTAAATGATAGAATAAACAAATTAATATTCAGAAATTGTTTAACACAAACACGCACCTAGAAATTGTAAATCCAGAAAAAACGAGAATTTCTATTAGCTCTTTTAATTCTTTCTGCAGCTTTATAGATGCATTTTTAATTATTTTAATTTGTCATAGAAATTACAATTAAAACATGGAAAAAATTGATTAGTTTTTTTGTAAGTCAAAAGTATTATTTAACATGACTGACTTCCACTAAATTCCTTCATTAGTGCGTGTAAAACTTCCGTCAGTTTGTGAATGAACAGATTGTTTTAGGCTGAACAGTGTAACAGCTGTTGATGTTAAAAATGCCCTGGTCGCGTCATTCTTTCAGCACCGACTCCATTCACATGTTTGCTGTCACTAAACCTCCTCAATCTGTTTTCCCTCCTGCCGTCTGTTGGAAAGAAAGATCTTACCCTTAATCTGTTAAGATCAACCATCATACAGCAGCTATTGCCGTGCCACTGCTTTAAGACTAAAATAGCATGCATTAATAACAGTTAATAACAAAAATAAAATAAAGCTAAAAGAAATGCTGACTTTCTACATTTAAATAGCAGCAGTTTGAGCAGCAGCATGTCAGTGGTTACTTCTCTCTCACATGGCTGTGAAACTAATGTGATTAGAAACAATTACGTCATTTGGGAATTAGCTGAGCACAGATTCAGGGGAGGGAGCTGGTTTAAAAACATGTAGCTCAGGAAGACTGCTGGAGACAGAGCAAAGACTGTGAGGGAGTGAGGGAGTCTGGACATACGGCTCATTCCCGGATCATAATATGAGCATCTGAAGAGCTTCTCACTACAGGTATGTGCTTGTTGCATACAATGATAGACGGATGGATGGATAATGTTATATTTTAGCCGATAACCTTGATTAAATGGTGTTAATCTTATTGTAATTGTATTATCGTTTCTTACTATACAATTATACTATAATAACATACAAAAATAATGTAATTTACCATTACTGTTGTGTATTCAATTTGGTAAATGTTATGTTATTACAACACATTATACTCCAAACAGTAATCATTATTTAAATGTATAAATATGCATATTATTTTATATATATTGAATGCTAATTTATATATTCAAGAAAATACTAGTTAACTACTTTTACTACTATAATAACAATAAATAATAGCATATACACTGAAAAAATTTGTCTGACATACAAAAACATTAAGGTAAATGGTAAATTTATTAATGTTCAACTTAATTAGTTAAATTCAGCCCACACAAATTGAAAGAATAAAAAGAATTTAGTAAATAGATCGGATGTATGTGTATGTGTATATATATTTAAGTATAATAAGTCAAACTCATTAAAAAACAAACATGAAACATGTTATTTATTATCCATATAGCTTATTAGAATGTAATTAACGTAATTCACATCCGGTATATTGTTTAATCTATTTTATGTATATACACAGTTAGAAATTCTAGGTTGCACACGCTCCATTTGTGTTAAGACAGCATAAGTTAACTTTTTAACAAATTTAGGTGGATTAAAAATTGAAACCGTTAAGTTTTCATAAATAGCCTGAGGAATTTTTAGCTCATTTGAAATCAATAGTTTGAACAAACATCATTTTTTGAGTGTAGTTTAAGGTTTTTAAATGTTCTAAATGACTTAATGTCTTGTTTCCTCACCAAAATCTGAATTAAATTTGTTCTGAATTAATACTGCAGTTTTACCCTGTTAACATTAGACTATTTATTCATCAGTAAAAGCATACATGTATAAATTTGATAGCTTATATAATTGTTTGTTGCAAATACGGTGTCATTAAAGTATACTTGATTACTAAATAATTGCAAGAGGCACAATTTAGTTTTATTTTTCTTAGTGCTGTTGCTTTTTTTTTTAACATTTATTGTATAAAAAAAGATATATTTGGTCCCCATTATTTACAATAATATAATTCATTAGATTATTTGCAACGGTGCCAATAAAGAGAGCGAAACAAGCGGGGGGAAAAGCAAAGAAACGTCAATAGGTTATCTGATTTGGGGATAGATGTATAATAGATAAAGAAATTGAGAGTAAAGAGGGCGACAACAGGAGTTTAGAGATTTAATAGATTATACATATTAAATGTTTTGAGTGCTTTAAGTAGTTTTTAATCTCTTGTATAATTGCTTTAAATATTGACTTGCAATTTGAAAATCTCTTTATGAATGTAAAATGTGCATCAATAATAAGGTTTATTATAAAGCAAATGCTAAAATAAAAAAAAAACTAAAATAATTGCTTTATTATGAGTCTCAGAAAAATTCTGTGACGTAATATGAGAGTACACCCCTCACACATCTCTCTTTTAAATTCATATTTTAATAGGTAGCTTTACTATATTATGTGTGCATATACATTAGATGAGTCAGTACTAAAGTCAAACCTGGAGCTTATCTAACGAAATAACTCACACCTAAATATATATGTTATAGAAAAATATTACATACCAATTTTAAAAAGAGTAAAAATTGAGAAGCAAAAAAATTAAAATTTTGTAGTTTGTAACGTTGGTTCTTTTGCAATGTGTAGGCCTAGTTTGAGTTTAATTGTATTATCTTTCAATGTCTAAATATATTTGGTGACTAAAATAAGTGAGGAAGAGTTTCAGTTTTGTTCTGACTAAAGGAGACATTTGTATCTAAATCTGATCCAAATATTTTCTTTAAGAAGTTTTTGTGTTGTTTCTTATAAACTGATCTCCGTCTTTCTGTTTTTGTAGCATTGTCTTTATTTATGAGACTGGACTGTTTAAAAAGCGGGAAAGCAGTAACGTACCAGCAACCTTGACTCTTGCCCTTCAGTATCTTCGAGATAAAGAGAAGTGCAAAGTTAAGAAGTGATGAGTGCTGTGGTCAAGAAATCTCTTGGAGCGCCTCTCCGACAGCTGACCAGCTGCGTGACCGGGGATCAGGACGCTTATAGCCGAAAAGGAAAGGCTGTCCGTCGGAAGAGCGCCCCCTGCTGCTACGGGCCGACCGCACATGATTCATCCTGGCTGCGGACTTACCAAGCCGAACTGCACAGAGAAAGGTGCCAAGACACATTCTTAATGCGATAATATCTGCATTTACTTACTAATAATAGTTGTGTCCAACTTCTTGATGGTAAATGTAAAGCGAATACAGAAATTAAAATAGTAACAACAATATTATAAACGACGTTAGTGTATTTAGTAGGTCCAGACGGAATCTGTGGACTTTTTTCCTTTTTTTGCAGAGAATTTTGTAAAAAAAAAAAAAATCTGCGGAATTATTTTGGAAGTATCTTAGCCAAAAACTTAATATATAAAATAAAAATAAGATTTTTAACTTATTTAAATGTCTAAGATTAATATTTAATGTCTACAATGCAAATCCATCTAGATCCACTTATTGGTAAAGCAAATCTTTCATTTAATACATCTACTAAAAGACAGAAAATATTACTTTACAAACTGTATTGTAAGTAAATAAACACTTTTATATTAGTCAATATTATTACTGAAATTATTTTAAAAACTGAATAAATATAAATTTACACACAATTGCTCAAGTAAATACAAACTCAATGATGGGCTTGAAATCTGGGGGTTTCTGCGCTCACAGATTCCGTGTGGTCCTAAGTTAGTTACAAACTAACGAGTTAATGAAATTAAATAACCTTTCCTCTAAAAAGTTAAGTAAGGGATCGCCTTTAATGTTCAGGTGATTAAAGTTACTTGTATTATACTTAAAATACTGTAAAAAAAATTCAACAATTCTATCTAAATCAGGGGTGTCCAAACTCAGTCCTGCATGTTTAAGTTCCATCCAGGGGTGGATTTAGTGATTTGGGGGCCTTAAGCAGTTCCAGCCAAAGAGCCCAACTGTCCTAAAATACACCCTTTTTAAATAATTGTAATAATTTTTTATTATTTTATTTATTTTTTTGTTTTATTTAAAGAAAATCTCTACATGTTGAGTGATTTTGTTTTCTAAAAATGAATTCACATCAACAAAAAAAAAGAATAAAATAAAAATTCATTTTTAAAGCTAAATGTCTAAATGTTGTCTGCTGGTCTGCTCCATGATTGGGGCTATAAGACAAATTTGCGTAGATGTTATCATGTTAAAATTTTATTTGTTAGTCGCTCACCATACAAAATATGATAGAACACAATGTTATGTGTATAATTTATACTTCTAGGTATTTATTGGAGGGCCCCAAATTTCCTGAGGCCCTAAGCGGCTGCTTACTTCGCTTATTGGTTAAATCCACCCCTGGTTCCAACCCCAAATAAACATACCTGAACCAGCAAATCAAGCTCTTTCCAGGTATACTAGAAACTTTTAGGCAGTTGTGTTGACGGAAGTTGGAGTTAAACTATGCAGGACACCAACCCCTCCAGGACTGAGTTTGGGCATCCCTGCTTTAAAATAATTCAGAGAAGCAACTATATTTAAAAGTAACTATATATATATATATATATATATATATATATATATTTTTTTTTTTTAATAAAATATATATATATATTAGAGAATAATTATATTTTTTAACTAAAGAAGGCTATATTTATCAGACAATTGCATATTTCAGTTTATGAAAATATATGATATAAATTCAGAACCACAGTAAATATTATATTTTGCATAAAGATTACATTTTCAACCACAGATAGATTTATCTGATGACTAAACATGCTTAAGAAACATGAAATCTTTTACAAATGTAATGAAATATGGGGTCTTTTGAAACGGTTTGAGTTTTTAAGCGCATGTTGCTTAAAATGTTACATTTTAATAAATATAACTAAAACCTAAAAATCCTGTTTGACTCAAATTGACAGAATTAAGTGTTTAATGTCTATTGTCTTTGCCTTTTATGTGGATTATTTTCAATTAAGTCAGTTAATTAAATTACTTATTGAGAAATTAAGTTACTTTTCAGGCAAAGTAATTACAAAAATTAATTTAAATACAGTTTTAATGAGGTAATTAGTAATGAATTATGTTTTTCAAGTACTGTAACTGAGCCAACATTAATTATTATATAGGAACAGCCGATGTGATTGCTTCACTTTAAGTAATTGTTAATCTTTTTTTTTTTAAAACAGGAAACACAGACAAGCCAAATTTGCACAGAAGAACGCAGAAAGAGCTGCCATGAGGGTGCATTACAGAAGTCCACACCGCTACGCCAAGGTACTTTTCTGAAATTCACATTCACATTCAGGCACTGTGTTGGAATAAAATGAGAACCCCGTCCAGGAGAATCATCTTGGAGATCTTTTTGAAGATGCTGTTTGACTGCAGGACAACCAACACATCTAAATAAAGAAATTCTGCTTGAAATGAGTCTCCAAACATGGTGGCTCAGTGGTTAGCACTGTCACCTCAAAGCAAGAGGGTCGCTGGTTCGAGTCCTGGCTGGATCAGTTGGCATTTCTGTGTGGAGTTTCTCGCTGTGTTTGCCTGGGTGCTCCTGTTTCCCCCACAGTCCAAAGACATACACTATAGGCGAATTAAATAAACTAAATTGCCCAAAGCGTTTGAGTGTGTTTGGATGTTTCACAGTACTGGGTTGCAGCTGGAAGGGCATCCTCTGTGTAAAACATATGCTGGATGAGTTGGTGGTTCATTCCACTGTAGCGACCCCAGATTAATAAAGGGACTAAGCCAAAAGATGAATGAATGAGTCTTCAAAATCAATCTCCTGGACCGGGTTCTCATTTTTTTTCCAGCAACTGAAATAGCAATATGTAATAACATGGCTAACTTTGATCTCCATTTTCTTTCAGCCACCGGTTCAGAGGACAAACCTAAACAGCAAGACCTCCAGCAAAAATGACAACTCGCTTTTCGGCGCCTTCCAAGGGCTCAGTCTGAACCTGAACGCAGCACAGGCCTCCATCACAAACTCCGTTCAGTATCTGAGGTGAACGATGAGACGCTGCACTCCAGGAATATTGTCCGATTATGAAATGTAAAGGGTAATGCACACCCAAATGGTGATTATAACAGAATAACGCAAGGAAAATGTCATTTTATTTCTATCAGTTTTACACTTGTGGTAAATAAAACCAAATTTATTGTGAAAACACTCTCAAAATTTCAACTTCAGAATTCTACATTCATTGTTTGTGTTACTTGCTGTCCACCAGTATTTCAGTGTATGTGCACTTCATATTTTGTCTGTTTCTGTACTTTTTTATTTCTTCTTTTGTTATTTTCTTCACTGATGATGTTCAGTCATTTTAAAACAGATGAACTCCAATTGAACTCCAATCTCCTCTCAGATGCCTCAAACTACGCTCTATCTACTGTAAACTACTGAGCCAGCTCACGTGTCTGGCTTTCTTTTACTGTACATTTTTGCAATAAAGAAGCTCCAGATTGTTGTTGCTTATCAGTAATTTGGCCAATCCCTGGTGCTGTTTATGGGCTATGACTACAGCAGACGAAATCTGCGGATGTTTTTTGCTATTTGTGCTGAGAATTTTGGTAAAAATCTGTGGATTTCTGCGTAATTATTTTGGCCGTATCATAACCAAAACCTTAATATGTGAAATAAAAAAAAACATTTTTAACTTTTATTTAATGTTTAAAATGCAAATCCAATTAAGATTCACTTTATTTGTAAAATAAAGCAAGTCTCTCATAATATCTCTACTAAAATACAGAAAATCTTACTGTACACACTGCATTGTACATAAATCAGATGAGCATTTTCATTTTAGTCAATAATATTACTGTAGTTAATTTAAAAACTGAATGACTATTGATTTACACACATTTACTCAAGTAAAAAAAAAAACTGAATTATTGATGGGCTAAAAATCTGTGGAATTCTGCGCAGCTTGATTCTGTGTGGGCATATGACGCTGCACTTTCACAGTCACAAATGACAAAAATCAGTATATTTAGTATTATCATATCATCATTTAAAATGCAGTTTTCCATGAATGTCTTGTTATAAAAACTGCTCTTACATTTTTCAGCCACATCTCAAAGTTTTCCTATTTAATAAATTACAATAATTACTAATTAACTCACGAGCTAATTTCACAAGTGGCTATTTCAGTAAATGGTAATCATTGTTTCTAAAAGGTGTGACACGATATCCTGATTTTAAATCAGCAATTCCACAGTAAATTTGAAATGACCGAAGCCCATGATGTGCACGTTTTTAAATTTTTGTTGTTTAGGCTTTTTTTTTTTTTTTTTGGACAATTAATTAATTAATTTATTTTTTTGCAACCACTCTAAGATTAACTTTTGTTGTCTTTTGGTGTGACATGTCTATTTATTGAAAATGTTCAACAAGTCATGGAGAAAACAAACCATAATTTCATACAAAATAAATAGCACTATATATATGCCGATGACAAGTGTGTTTATATATTATTAAGTGTTTTTTTTTCTAATTTTTTTAGGTCACGCTAAAATAGAACATGTATTATGGTACACTTTAATTAAAAGTAAAAAAAAAAAAAAAAAAAAAAAAGGCTTGATATAGTTCTAGAAAATTGATATAGTTAGCAGCTCCTTAAATTTGGAGAGGATCATGGGTTTGTGTTTGATCATGGCTGATCCCGCAGCAGCCAATTCATGAATCACCAATCAGATGATTCCTAAGTCTCTGTAAATAGCCAAAGTTCTATACCACAGCCATCTTTATTTCGAAGAATCCCCCTTTCCACCCCTACTTCTCATCCTTTCCTAGATGAGTGACACGGCAGCCCAGTGGTTATCACTGTTGCCTCGAAGCAAGACGGTCTCTGGTTCTAGTCCTAACCAAGCCAGTACATGTTTTTGTGCAGAGTTTACATGTTCTCCCTGTGCTCTTACGGTTTTCCCCCACTTCCCCCAATTTCCTCCCACTATCCAAAACCATGCGACTTAAGTTAATTGTCTAAATCTAAATCGGCACTATAGACATGCTCCTAGTTAGTAGTTATCTCTTCAAAGCAACCCCTAATTTAGCTACAATAGCAGGGGAGTTCTCGAGATCTACCTGAGCTCAAACTCCTCTCGCCCCACAAACGAGAGGGAGCCCCGTGCTCGAGGATCTTTTGAGCTCAGTGTTCTCTTCTGTTCTTAGTGTGAACTATTGAAATTTCATTTAAAAATTATGTTTTACTAATAACCCAGTGTAATAACCCTTATTAATAAAGGGACTAAGCCGAAAAGAAAATGAATGATTAAATGAATTAACTTAAAATAAATCTTTGATTTCTGCTGTCTTCATTAGTTTGTTGTAAAAAACAATACATTTTTTTATTACTTTGGTTTTTTTTCTTTTTATTAAACATTTGCATTGCTTAAGGTGACATATTAACCAGCTGATGGAAATGCAAAGGCCTGAATGTCTAAAATGAACTTTAGCTCTGCAGCTAAACTTCCTGTGAGCAGAGATGCGTTGAAACTGAACACAGACTCTTTGCAGATGTGAAGTCTTATGCTTTTAATGTTGTGCAGAGAATCCGTAGAAAAAGAGGAAGTATGTATGGGTGCGGCCGACGGAGGACTGGAGAATAATTGATAAGCAACTCCACCTGTTAATAACAGCTGGGTATAAATTCTTGAGTCAGGAAATGTAGAGTGGTTGCGCATTTTCTGAATGTGATCCTTGCATTGCATTGAGGATACCGAGAAATCTGTTCATTGAATCATTCATTTTTACCCAATAAATTACTAATATTTTGACATTGAAGAAAATCCTCTTCTGACTTTTTTTTTATTGAATTGAATTTATTGAATTTATTTTTACGTATTGAATTGATAATATCTTCCAACAATTTTAAAAAACAGATTTTTTACAACTTGAAAAGGCATCGTTGAAGATCTTTCTTTTCTTTGGATAAGAAGTGAAGCCACTGCACTGTTCAGGTCAATAGCATGTTTGGATAGTGGTGTAGAAGCGATTTGTTTCTAAGATGTTTGTTGAATTGTGGGCTGACTTGTAGATTTTGATGTGGAGGGTCATTTTCTGCTGGAGAAACTGTTGCCCTGAAATACTAAATAAAATAATTGTTGAAAACCCAAAACTTACATATACCATAGGAACGGTATCATTGAAAATTGTAGCGGTTTTAAAACCATGACTTTTACAAACCATAGTAAACCTTAGGGCTGGTTATCGTCCCATTCATATTTTTGAGTGTATACAAACAAACATTCATTGATTCATTCGTTTTTCTTCATCTTAGTCCCTTATTTTTTAGGGGTCGTCACAGCAGAATGAACCACCACTTATTCCGGCATATGTTTTATGCAGCGGATGCCCTTCCAGCTGCAACCAAGGACTGAGAAATGAGTGTATACATTAAAAATGAAAAACCCTTTAAATTAATAATAATAATAAAATAAACTACTTTTATTTTATTTTATTTTTTAGACTAAATTAATTTATTGGAAACTGATAGACATTATCAGTGTACACAGAACATTAAAGGACGTGATCCGGATCTTTTGGCCGAGTTCTCCATCTGTTTGTACATCAGAGGTCATGTCTTTAATTATTTTTATTGTCTTCCTCTCACTCACCAAAGGTAAAGCGTCTCACTTATGCTCAGACCCAGGAACACGATACTCAGCACTTCACAGGACTGACAGTGGTCGAAACTAGATATATGTTAGATAGACGCTGTATTTACCCGACTGATGCCCTCATGTGAGCGACGACAGGTAATGGAGTTATTTTACAAGAGTAAACTGTTTATGTAAATGTCAATTCTGTTAAATTCTGCTGTTGTTTACTCACCCTTCGCTTGTTCCAGACCTGTTTGGGTTGTTCCTTCTGTTGAACGCAAAGTGAGATAATGAAGAATGTTGCGGAAGAAACAGTTCAGTTCTTTTCTGTTCCTATCATGGACGTCAATGGCTGCTTTTTCTCCCGGCGTTCTTCAGAATAGCTCCTATTGTGTTAAACAGAAGACAGATAATCATTAAAGTTTAAAACCACTTGAGCAACTTATCATTTTTATTTTAACATTAATTTTTAATTACATTAATTTTAAGTGAACTCACTTTATAGCATGATGTGACTGTAGTTGTCTCTTTTACTTTATTAATTAGATTGATGATACGTCCATTTTCACTGTCAGGTTTGCAGTTTGACTCTGATTTGAGACTGTTTAAAATATGGAATGTAACCAATATGCGTTCTCACTAAGGTACACAAAACGAGTACAGTAAGCTGTCAATGAACCACCACTGAAGCAAAAAATAAATGAAACAGAGTGGTATCATGCAAAATATCCAACTGTTTTGGCGTAGAACTACAATTAATTTAGGAAGTAGTTGTAGTTTATACATCATCTTTAAGTTACAACGAGTAAAAAAAAAAAATTATGATCAAATGAAAACAAAAGGCTGTTTTGACATGACGTGTGTGTACTGTGTATTTTTATTATGTATATCTAAATACATGCATATATTTGAGAATTGTTTTTTATATTTAGATATAAAATATACATCTATACAAAACAAAAAAATTATGAATTATTATCACGATTAATCTTGTGGTAACACTTGTTGTCCCATGTGTTGATATTAATGCATTAACTAAGGCTTTCTAAGCAATGAGTAATTTATTTGTTAATAAAAATACATGTTCATATTCATTCCTAGCAGCCACAGGACTTCAACATGACGTCAGGTTGACGTTGTACCCCAACATCCAGGGATGTTGCATTTTGTTTTGAAATGAAAATCGGGTTGACGTCAGAACCCATCGTCAAGCTGACGTCAATGTTCAACTTTGGACAGACGTTGGATTTTGGTCACTTTCCAACACAACCTAAAAACAACCAAATATCAATGTCTATTGATGTTACAGCTTGACGTTTTGTGGACGTTCCCAATATTACGTCTATCAGATGTTGAATTGTGGTTGTCATACTTAACTAACATAAATGTCAGTATTTGACCTCAATATGATGTTGGTTTAAGATGTTGGCTCGACGTTGGATTTTGGTCAATTTTGAACATAAAATAAAATCAATGAAATATCAGCGTCATTTCACATTGTTATTGGATGTCAAAATAACGTTCTTATAGACGCTGACAACCTACATCTAACCTAATATTAACGTTCTATGACGTTGTTGGTCTGCTTTGTTGCTTGCTTGTGCTATTTCAGAATGAACTGACTTATGTTAGCTAAATTAATGTAGAAATTAACATGAATACATGCGTTTAACTAAAGTCATTCATGATAAAAAATTAAAACATATAGGCTTTTTTAATTGATCTAGCAACTACCAAACTGATTAAAATTGACATTAATGTCAGGGTTCAATACTAAGGATTTTTTCGACTGGCTCGGTTGGGCCAGTGGTTCAGATTTTTACTTGCCCTGCCAAAATTTTCACAGGTCCCACCAAAAAACAAAACAAGTTAATAGCTATTTCTTAGCCACATATTGTAAATAAAGCTTCAAAAACAACGTCTGTGCATTTACAAGTTTAATGTATTTTAATGTATTAATTAATCATTAATTCAAAGTGTTATGGAAACAAAAAGAGCAGTATGGAAAACGTGCAGGTATTTTATTGCAGTTCTAAATGATTTAACAAAAGGTGGCTGCTTTGCCAAACTGACAACAAACTGTTCCAAACCCTGCTTCATTTTCAATGTGTTGTGCCCACATAAATGTCTGCTTCCAAGACATTAGCCTCATAATTTGATGTTGCCGCCATGTTGCTGTCGCTTTGCTGTACTGGTTGTTACCAAGTTACAGACAAAAATAACGTGCTCACAACATCCGATCAGATGAGAGGAACTGAAAAGCAATATGGTGTTTACGACATCACAGAAAAGGTAGCATTTAAAGGCTTAAAAGCACAAACTGTTTCTCGATTCTACACAATTGACAAACTGTTGCAGGCAAATTAAACTTTAGTGACAAGGCAGCACGAAGACAGTAACCATCTGGTCTACTGTTCCGAGCGTCTCTCAAGCTGGCCTCGGGCCATCGGACAGTCCTTATTGTTTAGCCCTGAAAGTTAAGTTTTGCTGGGTGACATGACATTTACATAATTACTGAACCAAATAATTCGTTTCTAAAGAGTATAAGTATAATTAATTAATATGTAAATACATAATAATGATACAAATAATAATTAAATTGTATTTCTACAAATAGATTATGCTAATGTGATTCTAAATATTATTTTATATGTATACATTCAATATATATATATATATATATATATATATATATATATATATATATATATAGTTGCTTGTTCAAACTACTTATTTAAAATGAGCTGAAACAACACAATTTTTGAGATTTTGTTAGATTTTTTGGAGAAAACTTAATTGTTTTATGTTTAATCCACTTAAATTTGTTACCTTAATTGATTTGTGTTGGGACAACATGACAACATTTAGAGTGTGTATAATATAGTAGTCAGCATTTGAAGTAGTTAAAAACACACGAAAAAGGAAAGATGTATAGGCTAATATAATATAATATAATATAATATAATATAATATAATATAATATAATATAATATAATATAATAAAATATAAAAGATGTTGTCCCCAAAATTACAGTATATTTGAGCAGAAAGCATTTAAAAAGCAGTGCTCATTCTCAGGTAAATACACCTGTGAGCGTCGTGTCCTCAGCGCAGGTTTGGCCCGCCCATTTCCTCCCATCTGTTCCGCTGCGATGTGACGCTCAAGTCCCTTACCTGTACATCCAGACCGGTAAAACACGCAGGTGTCAGCAGAGAGAGAGATAAATACAGCGCCTGCCATCAAGAAGCCGATTATCCGCAAACCTCTGCGTCTTTCATCTTCCTCCTCATCTCATAACCGACGCGTGATTTGACAACAAGACGAGGAGCTTTATTTCCCGCGCGCGCGAGATGTTTTAGAAATGGAAAATTCATGAGGAGGAATAATATTGACAATAAATGCACTTATTCCCTGAGGAACTTTCCAAGGGCGGATGAATTACACAGCGGGGAACGACTGGGTTCTCCTTGGAACTTTCCGGAGTCCGTTTCTACTGGTAAACTTACAGTAAATTGACATGTTTGAGCTTTTTTGAGAGTGCTGAGTTGAGTTGTAAACAGTATTACACGCAAAAGAGTTTGTAGCAAATGTAATCAGTTATGTTTGCATTATTAGATTAAATTTAACTTTATTGTCATTACACATGTACAAGGCAACGAAATGCAGTTTAGGTCTAACTAGGAGTGCAATAGGATATCGGTATAAGTTAAGTTATGAAGTGCAATCATAGAGACATTACTGGTTGTATTAACTATGAATAGATTTACAGGAGATAAATATATGTACAGGTTGCTATTAATAAACTGAGGTATGCAGATTGATATGAACATAATCACAATGTGTAGTCGGTTGATATGTACAACTCAAGATGAATTAGTGCAGCTATAAGTGAAACTAGTTCTTCTTGATATGTACATATCCACTGCACATATGCACTTGAAATTATGTTTAAATAAGTGTTATAAAGATATATATGTGTTATAGTTACATAATAACATTTATTAAATGTATTATTGGTGATTTTAAAGAGTGTTAAAATCCTATTTTGTTTTTTTTTTATATTGAAAACTAAATTTTTACAAGTATTAGACATATGCCGATATTCAATTCAATATAAGGTGATAATGAACATGCACTTGCACCATATTGATATTGTGTGCTTTAAAATACTTTTAAAGCTAACCTTTTTACTTAACTTTTAGTGTCTTTAATGATATTCAGAATGTTGTACACTCAAAACAACAAAGGATGTATCTGCTTTTTCAAACGACTCATTAAGAAACAACACAATTTTTGTATTTTAGGTGACAACTTAATTTTTTTATGTTCAATCCACTGAAATATGTTAAGTTAACTTACTCAATTTGTGTTGAGACAATGACACGTAGCTCAATTGGTGCTTATGTGCCCAAAGTGTGCCAAAAAATCCCCCACACCATTACACCACCACCACCAGACTGAACTGTTTAATACTAAGCAGGATTGATCTATGCTTTCAGCTTTCAGGTTGTTGACACCAAATTCGAACCCTATCACCCCAATGTCGCAGCAGAAATCAAGAATCATCAGACCAGGCAACTTTTTCCAATCTTCTATTGTCCAATTTTGGTGAGCCTGTGTGAATTGTAGCCTCAGTTTCCTGTTCTTAGCTGACAGGAGTGGCACCCGGTGTGGTCTGTTGCTGCTGTAGCTCATCCGCCTCAAGGTTCAACATGTTGCGTTCAGAGATGCTCTTCTGCATACTTCAGTTGTAACGAGTGGTTATATGAGTCACTGTTGTCTTTCGATCAGCTGAAATCAGTCTGGCCATTCTCCTATATCAACAAGGCATTTGCGCCCACAGAGCTGCCGCTCACTGGATATTTTCTCTTTTTCAGACTATTCTCTGTAAACCCTAGAGATGTTGTGTTTGAAAGTCCCAGTAGATCAGCAGTTTCTGAAATACGCAGACCAGCTCATCTGGCACCAACAACCATGCCACATTCAAAGTCACTTAATTCACCTTTCTTCCCCATTCTGATGCTCGGTTTGAACTGCAGCAGATCGTCTTCACCAAGTCTACATGCCTAAATGCAATGAGTTGCTGCCATGTTATGATTGGCTAATTAGAGACTTGCGTTAACAAGCAGTTGGACAGGTGTACCTAATAAAGTGGCCGGTGAGTGAACTTTAAAGTTGATTTCAAAAGTACAACAGAATTTTGTAAGTTATTAGCTCCATTTAATAAAACAAGTATGACTTTAGATTTTACTGCATTATTAAGCATTTACTATGTATTTAACATCAGATTAATAAAGGATTTTAGTTCAATGAACTGATTTTAGCAAATGGAACCTTACTTCACAGAGTTAACAAACAAAACGTATATAAATAGTCACATCATTTCCAATGTCGTATAGGCCTGATTGTGTGAAAATTATAAGTGTTTGAAAATAAATGATTAATTATGTCTTTAAACATTTGGTGCACTCACTAATACACTGTAAAAAATGCTGTGTTCCACCAAATTGATTTGTGTTAAGACAACAGGAATTTAGTTAACTTATTAGTTTTTATGTATTTTAGTGAATTGAACATAAAACAATTAAGTTGTCCCAAAAAACATCAATTATTGTATTTTTCCAACTTGTTTGAAGCAAGTAGTTTGAACAAACCGTCAATTTTTGGGTTTAAAAAATTTGTGTTTATGGGTGTCCTCATTTTATTCCTCTTGTCAAACTAGTCTTGAACCTGCAGGAGCATCAGTAGATCTGCATTATGGACGGCGATGGTCAACCTCCGGCTTCAAACGGTGACTCCAAGCTTCGCTCCAGAGGGGGTTTCTCCCTGACCGGCTGGCGTTCGTCCTCCAAGACTTTACTGCGAGGAGAAGCCGAGGACGTGAGCCGGAGACTGCTATCCATCGTGAACCACAACCAGGAGCGCTCGGATTCAGGGGCCAGTCCCACCTCAAAGTCCCTGGAGGTGACCGCAGGGTTAGACGGGACCACAGCCACCACAACCACCGTGACCGCTGCCACCCCGCCTCTCCCCCATAAAGCCATGCCCGAGTCCTCAGGAGCCCCAGTGGCGTCTGAAGCAGAGGATGGGCCGTTTGTTGACCAGTCCACGTTCCTCCAGAGGCAGTTCAGCTCCATGCTCCAGCCTGGGGTCAATAAGTTCTCCCTGCGGATGTTTGGGAGCGCTAAAGGGGTCGCGGCCGAGCAGGACAGGGTCAAGTCATTTGGGGTGTGGATTATACATCCATACAGCGACTTCAGGTGAGTGACAAGGAAGCGGGAGGGAAAATATGGCCTTAAAGTACACATGAAATCAAAACTAACCATATGATTTTAATAGATCAGGTTGTGGTCTGTGCTTGTCATTAAGAAAAAAAATGTTTGCCCTTCTAATCTTTAATTGAAATCTGACAATGCACTGGAATGTTTTCAGTTAAATTGTCAGATTATGTCTGTCGGGGGTACTGGGCGTGGCTAACATATTTAACCACGCCCCTCCAACTGTACGTTTTGACAGCAAACAGAAATGTTGAGGATGAGGAGGTTGTTAGGTTGTATTAACTCTTCTGGAACCCTTTTCTCGATTGTTCTAAACGAAATGCCTACTTTACTGCATCCAATCAGCTCGCAGTAGAAAAACAAGCCACGCCCACTGTTTGCTCATTTGATGTTCCACTTCTCTAGGAACTGCATCACAATAGGGTAATGCACTTTAAAGAATTATGGGATTGATTGTTTTTACTTGACAATTTGACAAGAACATACAAACAAGTTCAATCAGACTTAATTCATACATATTTTAAAAACGATCAAGAATAAAATACACAGAAAACAAATAAACAGTTAAACAGACCATCTGCAGCCTGAGAATGAGAGATGAACCTCCTCCAATTGGCCTTTACTTTCACTTTCTCTCTTCTGGGATAGGGAAACGTGTTGTTTGCACAGACATCCATTAGCCTACATATGTACTTTAGTTTGTTAAGCGCAATATGCATATAATAAATATTACTCGTTCTACAATAATTACCCTAACCTACCTAGTTAACCTGATTAACTTAGTTAAGGCTTTAAATGTCAATTTAAGCTGTATAGAAAATATTATTCACTGTCATCATGGCAAAGGTGAAATAAATCAGTTATTAGAGATGAGTTAATAAAACTATTATGCTTAGAAATGTGTTGAAAAAAATCTTCTCTCCGTTAAACAGAAATTAGGGGATAAAATAAACAGGGGGGCTAATAATTCTGACTTCAACTGTGTGTGTGTGTGTGTGTGTGTGTGTGTGTGTGTGTGTGTGTGTGTGTGTGTGTGTGTGTATATATATATATATATATATTACTCTCAGAAATTTTGTTTTTTTGGTTCTGATCTATTTGCTATCTACCCAGCATGCACTTTGCATAAATAATTATGTTTACTTTTTTATTTGCACAGCTGCAGTTGATTTTGCTTTTACTTTCTGTAGTCTAATTATTTATGACATTTTAATTATTGACGGTGCATGCATTTGATGTGTTTTTCAGAAGTTTTTATGTTAACATTTAATAATTTGGCAGATGGTTTTATTCAAAGTGACTTACAAATGAGGACATTAGAAGTAATAGCAAAAAAAAAAGAAACCTAGGAGCAACAGATGTCAGTGGTTTTGATCATCCAGTGTTATTTTGAGATCCTCGATATTGCTATGTTTTCATACTTATTTTTGCTTATTTTCAGTCATTTTATTGGGTTTTTACCATTTTTATAATTATTCATATGTGAATAATTATAAATATGACTATGTTTATTTAGCTTTTTATTAATGTAATAGTGTAAGTGTTTTATTGTTCATAATCAAATTAATAGACAGTCAGATATATAGTTAACAACAATATTTTTAATGTTTAGCCTAGGTGAACTAAGTAAATTAAATTGGCCGTAGTGTATGTGTGTGTGAATGTGAGAGTGTATGGGTGTTTCCCAGTACTGGGTTGTGGCTGGAAGGGCATCCACTGTGTAAAACATATGCTGGATAAGTTGGCGGGTCATTGCGCTGTGGTGACCCCTGATGAATAAAGGCACAAAGCCGAAAAAGAAAATGAATGAATGAAAACATTACTGATCTATTTACATTTTTTGACAGAATACGTGAGGTGAAACAGAATTGATAATCATTCAAGTGAGTACTGAAACTGTAAATAAACCGTACTTCGAATAAATAAGGGTCAAATGTATTTACAGAATCCTCTGGTGACATTTTTTAGAGGCTCTTGACTGTGAGTGTTACACATAAAGGTGTGTTAAGGGTTACGTTTCAGTGCTTAGATTATATGACTGTTAAGCAGTGACATGATCTCCTGTGATGTAACAACAAAATTGCTTTAAAAAAAAAAACAATCCTTCAGTTTTGCATTGTTAAGTGTCCTGCAGCCTAAAACATATTGATCATGCCCAACTCTGCATGTAACTTACAAGAAACCAAACATCTGGGATGGAGTTGGTATAACAGTACAAAAACCTTGTAATAAACTGTAAGAATTTTCTGTCATTTTACAGTCTTATTTCTCTTTACATAATTAAAGAGTATTAAATGTGTATAACTTATACATTATATCATTTCAGACTACTAAAATGACAAAAAATTCACTTTGTTAAACTGTTAAGTTGAATTTTCAACAATAAAAGTAGACAGAGCAGAGATCCACATCCCATAATGCTATTTACAATCGTAAATAAACAGAAAACACTTGTGAATCACAAAATACGCAAACTTCTATTTAACAGATCAATTTTTAAAGTGGATATTTAGACGAATAATCAACTTTTTTAACTAAAGAAGGTTGCAGTTACTCGACAACAGCACATGCTTAAGAAACAATGAAGTTATAAATTAATGATAATATATTACAATTTGTAATCTTATATAACTTTATAACTTTACATAAATAAAACTATAAGTCCCCTGTTTGACTGAGATTTAAATAATTAAGAGTTTTAATTTCTGTTGTGTTGAGATTTTTTGTAGTATGGAGATGGTGTTTTTTCCTAAACTGTAAAAAATCCAGGGTTCCACACAATTCCTTCATGTTGTCACAGCATAAATCCATTAAGTTAACTTAATAGTTTTTACAAATTGAAGTGGATTGAACATAAAACAATTAAGTTGTCCAAAAAAAAAAACTTTTTCAACTTTCAACTTATATGAAATAAGTAGTTTGAACAAGCAGCAAAAGTCATTTTAGTGTGTTTTTGTTGAAAAAGTTTAGGCTTTGTTATGATTATCCCTGGCACACACACTTCTCCAACATCTCTGACCAACTATTTTGAACAATGCAGACTCTTGCTTTAGTAAGAAAAGCTGTTAGTGTCAGTATAGATGGGCTGAAATGGAAACTTGAAAAGAGTCAGCATTAGAGTCACTATTGTGTATCGTTCCATGATTCGTCATCCTCTCTCATATGGCCGTTACACAACCAATATACAGCATTTACCCAGCAAGACATGTGTGCACAGTGAGCATGAATGGTTGTGTGTCATGCATTTTATATTGTATAGTGTGGACGGAGTTTTTTTTTTTTTAAATACATAAAAATGCTAAAATAGATTTTAAAAAAGCACTGCAGGAAACTTTTGTTTTAACTTAGAAGCTGTAATTTTATTAAAAATAAATTGTAAAATATTCAGCACTATGAAAAATTCACAGTTACTACAATTGTTGCTGATAACGCTAAATGTAGAAATCTAACAATATAATTTGTACAACCCATGTTTATTTTTAGTCTCTTTTTCGATAAATGATTCAGTTATTCACTGATAAAACTTAAGGTTTCAATGCTAGATGTGTCATTTTTGAAGAATTATTCAGTGGCGTATTTTTGAAACTGTAATTGCTGCCTTCAACTTTCATTTTTGAACATCAAATTAAATACATATGATGGTGGTTATAATCTTTATCATAAACATCAGTGGTTTTATCTAAATTATAATCTGTTCTCCCAGTACTTCTGAGTTATTTGACTGTTTGTAACTCAAAAGACCAAAGACTGAATCTCTTTCTTGATTTTTGCATTTTTCAAACACAGATTTGAATACAGCGATTCGAAGGATTAATAAACATGCAAATCCCCATCATTAATAATTTATGTTGTGTGAGTGTTGAAATCCTGATCTTTTATTCTGATTAATGGTGCAGCTTACACTGAATGCATTAATGCAGGCTAAACAAGTAGTGACAGAAAACACCTTTAATAACCTTAGAAACCCACCACATCCTGAATACCCTACCACAACTTCTTTCGTCATCATTATATTTTATGGGAAAGCCTAAATGCTTTCATACATGTTATTTAAATGATGCGAGAGGCGATGTCTCTGCGATCGTTACAAAATTAGTATAGTAAAAATTTGTATTACTTATTATTTATAATCTGTGGGTAGGCATAGGATGATAACCGTTTTCAAGGTATAATGCGGTTTGGAAAAGTCAAGATTTTAAAATCATCAAAATTTTCTGCAATACCGTTCTTAAGGTATGTGTAGGATTTTTTATTTACGTTTTTATTTATTTTTATTTTTTATTTTTATTTTTTAGGACAACAGTATCTCCAGCAGAAAAGATGTTTAAAGATGCCAATTTAAATTGTAAAAAAAAAAAAAAAAAAAAAAAAAAAAAAAAACGTTACTGAAATAAACTCATTTAAATTGTTTAGCCTGACATACTTACTGTTTCAAAATATTTTAAATGTCTCTTAAAATAAAATATATTGTGTTTAAAAGGGAAAAAAAGTTTTTGCTTTTTACCCAAACATTTAAAAAGAGCCTATTTTACTATCACAATATCGCAAAACCGTGATACTTTTCTCCCAGGTTATCATACCAGCAGAATCATATACCGGTTAATGCCTATCCTCAGATCATGTGAGTTCTGAACCATGGGTTGTGATCTGTCTTTTTTTTAAACAAAACCACACTTGTGTAAACACGGCTTGACCCTAGTAATTAAATTACTTATTGAATAATTAAATGACCTTTAAACAACAAATTAAGAAAAGTAGTTTAAATGGTGACGTAATTAGTCATTAATCACCATTTTTAAGGAACTTACACAACACTGCTTATATAACCCCTTGTAACTTAAATTAATTGTCCACAAGCACAATGTCCACAAGCAATTACACTGCAAATCAGGCCTTTAAAGCACGACTCTTTCAATCGGCACAGTAAAGCATAATAATAAAGGCACACAGGTCAGTTACAGCGCTTTCCCTTATAGAGTTAC